AACTTGCACACAATGGTTCATTCAGATGGCATGCTATCAATTGTGTTTGTCAGAGGAGCAGCATCATACTGTGTTTGCGCATGCCATTTTGAAAGATCGTGTGGAAGGTCATTGAATTTTAATGTACATCTCATTTTAATAAAGGAACAAACAAGATATGGATTCAAATATAAAATGTACACAATACAATGTCAGGGAGACTCACAGAAGCAATAACATATATAAAGGTGCAAAAAAAGAGAGAATCTAATATTAAATGCATGAACCTGACAGCCATGTGTTTTCAGTAAAGGGAAATGTTTTCTCCTAATGAAGAGCCGAGCTTTTGACCTCTTGTTATTTGCCTCATGTTAGGTTAACCTCCTAAGGCGTTAGAAGCATGATGTGCAATATGACCCCCATGAGCATGCACTGGGCAGAGCTGGAACATTGAATTAAATAATCATGAAAGGATTTGTGAAAAAATGTATTTAAAACTAAACCATGCTGATTATCCACTCTTTGAAATGCAAAACTTTGCCACAGTCTTTGCAATATAAAAGTTATTTTGAAAGGTTTAACAATACTGTGTGTGTTCTAGTGATTGTATGCAAGAGCAGCTCGGTTTATACATGTCTTGCAAGCTCTCGCTCACAAGATTTTTTTTCTAACAATGTCTTATCGTGATACAACTGTATCAAGTATGTCCTTGAATGGTCATAATCTCCAGGCAGTTGCACATTCATGTAAGCTTTCCTAACATCCACCTGTGCCATTGTAAAAGTGGAATTTTTCCACTGCGTCTGGTTCTGTGGATATCTTTTCCCTCCTGCTGCTGTACTGTGACCAGAAGATATGGAGAAAACTATAGGGCCTGAGGTTACTGCATGTCCGGGAATGCTCCTGTACAAGGACTCACTATTCTACCTGAACGGGTCTAACCTACAAGCAGCCGGCCAGTGAAGCACCCTGGGGTGGTGAATGATCAGTTGATTAATTCTGAAATTATGTTAGCCAAAAGTTGTGGGAAATGTGGGAAAAGAGTTTTAGTCGTGTTTGGTAGAAGTTGATATAAATCTGCCTTTTTGTACATAACTCAGTCACTGCAAGAAAAAGACCTCTTCCTTAACTTTTAACAACAAATGTTATCTTAAACATGAAAATACAAAGATCTATGATTCAAAGTGCATAAACTGTTCCAGATGATTACAAGAAATGTTTCTATTATGCCTAGTTCAAATCTACATAATTCTGTGCAATGTTAAGTGTTGCCCATAACATTAATTCAGGAAATTGTGTTTTTGATTTCTCTATTTTACAGTTAAGTGTGCTAACAACCAATTGACTGTGATATGTTTGAACTCAAAGGGCAACTATCTGTGCCTCCACATACCCGATAAGCAATTTTAAAAGATGACATAGATGCAAAGCCTTTCTGCATTACTTGGCAAATTACCTATGTATCCTTTCAACACAATATTTTTAATTTAGAAAATTCAGTCATCCCTGACTGTGCAATGATTCACTGAGTTACAGAGAAAAACACTTAAGACAGTGACTGATCCACTGACGTGTCAGCAATAAGTTATCAAATGTCACCACATTTCATTTTAAGCATCTGGCATGTTTTCTCTTTGTGGAAAAGATTCACACATTCCTGATTTACACTAAGCACAGAGCACCTTAAGACGTTTTTCAGCCAAACACCTTAATCAAACAAAGGCGCTCTCCCATCTCTTTGTTCTAGAGGTCCCCAAACTAAGGTAGAGAGATAAGAGCAAAGGTCTGGAGCAGTGCCAACTTGATGCAAGGGATATAATTAGCCCCGGGGGTCATTTTTGGACCTGAAACTCTCTATTCTCTTCCTTCATGACTAATTCACAAGACCTTGATTCTCTTTTGCCATTAGAGGGTATGCCTACACGCCATGCAACAGCTCAGATGGGTTAAGTTCACCATCACTTTTATTCTCAGAGCTTTTTGATGAAGGAACTTTATGATTTGTGTTGATGAGGCTCTTGTTTTCTTTTTTAATTTCATTACGGTTGCACTTGGAAAACTGCCTGATATGAATTAAAGTAAAACAAAGGCTTTTGCTGCTTATGAAACATTTTCTTGTAAATAGTTTATTTAAGATCTAGCTGCTGTATTTTTGGCCCAAGTGAACTGCTTGTCTTTCAAGGACAAACTCAGCAAATCACTCAGAAGAAAAACAGGAAAATGAAAAACATGCAATTTCTATTCTTTGGCAGTGATAAAGGTTTTTCTCTGTGTGTCAAAAAATATTTGTGTTGTGTTATTTCCTATCAAAGTCAAGAGGAGCAAAGTTTCTCTGATTTGGCACATGGAGGGTTTTGGGCTGATAGTGAATTATGAAAGATGGAGAGGAGTTTTAGATTTATTCTGCTGTCATCTCGGGGAAGGGAGGCCGTACGTGTGTATGCCGTGGGGTGTGGGTGTGTGTGTAAGCATACTGTGTACAAGTCTTTGTATTTGTGTGTGTGTGGGGCCATGGCTGTCTTCTAAGTCGATAGACACACTCTGTCACCACTGGCAAGTAATTGACAGCTTGGAGTTTGCAGTGACACAGGCCTTGCATATATTTCCTCCATTATGTCAGTTTGGGGTTCTCCCTGGCAGTGCATTCAGGTGTCAGCTAGCTCGGCAGTGGATTAAACAAGCACCTTATATTTGGGTTTATGGGGAGGAATGATAAACGCTCTCACCCGCGATCAGCCAAATAAAGGTTTCCCATTTCTCAGCGTTGATTAGTTATTAGTTATTTGCTTGCAGTCAAATCAAGAATTTGCAACTAATTTGTTTCTTTGATTTAATGACTGAGTAGTTGGTGTATAGTATGCCAAATCCAAAAAGCCTGGTGTCAAGGGGACAAAAAAAAAAAAAAACAGGAATAATTTGCATCTGTTAACTCCTACATGTGAATGTTTTCAAACTAAATGAAAGTTTCATACCTATGAAAACTCCCAAGGATACTAAGAAGGCTCAAAAATCATCGTGAAATAAATAAACTATTGATCAAATTCATTCAGCATTGACCTTGCTGTGATCGAATGGTAGTTTCTGTGAAAAGCTTTATGTCAGAGCAGCTAAATACTGAAAGATTTGAACAAGTACAGAACAAAGGACAATAAGAAAAGCTAGGAAAGTGAAGTTGTAACAGACATTTTCAACTCTCTGTAGAAGCATCCATAATTATTCACTCATATCCATTTACAGGGAAGCTTGGCAGCCAGAGAAACGTTATGGTGCAATTTGTCTTCCCCTTTTCCTTTTTCTTTTTTCCTGCTGCCTTCTCCCATACAAATCATTAGTTTCACTTTTCATTAGGCAGGATCAATAAGGTGGATCAGTCGTTGGTGGCGGGGATACTGCGTGGCAGACACCTCTCTTCCTCAACTGTTTTTTTATCCCTAATTCCTTCTCTCTTGTTCTTTTTTTCTGTGTCATTGACTCCAACTATCTCTGCGAGGCAGCAGCGAAGAGGAAACAGCAGGAAGCCTGAAAGGCCCAAGAAAGAGACGTGAGCCAGGGATTGCACTGGTGCTACTCAATATGGCAGAAATGGCAATGCTGAATGATAACCCATTAAAGTTTAATTAAGAAACAGTAACCTCTCAAGCTTACAGTAATAATGAAAGGGAGGCTGCATGCAGCGGAAGGAAATTAAAGTGGAAATGTAAGGGTCTGTAAAAGTTTAGTCATAGTGACACTGTCTGCCAAATGGTAAATGTTAATGCTGATTTAATTCCTTCCTGATTATTTTAATACAAAACATAATTTCAGCAGATATTTAACCCTGTTTTGTGCAAGACGTGTAAACGTTTTGGTATGTGCCTCTAATTTGAAAATGAACAAGTACACACTGTATAATTTTACTGTTGTGAATCATGACTTTTGTTATGGCCCCTTGAGCTCTGGTAGAACTTCTGTCCAGTGTTTAGTCTTAGAGTGTATCACTGTTGTCTTTCAGAACACCTGGATGTTAATCTCATTATTGTAGCCTGTCATGTAAAAGCAAAATACTGCTTATCAGAGGTGGGAGTCACACATGTGTAAATCACAAGTTTCGAGCAAGTCCCACGTGAGAATTAAGCAAGTCGAGTCCCCGCTACAGTATAAGTTAAAGGTGTCTGTATATTTTTGTCCTTCACACTGACATACGTCAGAATATTAGGAACACCTCTGAATATAATGTAGTCCAGTACAACACCACCTACAGTATGACCTCAATAATGAACATATAATTGAATTTATACATGTATGACAATATCACCAAAAACTGAAACATTTTGAGTTTTATAAACACAAATGTTAAGGCAGAAGTGTTGCATTGACGTGCATACAGATGTACAGGTGGTCATATCGGTGTATATAGCTGTATACTGTGACCTGTGTTACCCTCTGCTGGTCCGTTGCGTTGTGGTAGATTTGCCAGGTTTTCACACATTGAACTAGAAATCACCCAATTTTGTTTCAAAAACAAAATGTGACTTCTTAATATCTAGAAAAATGCAAATATGATTTTTAAAAAAAAGTTTTTTAAAGTTAATTTTGAGTCATCTGTCTCAAGAGTAGGTCAAGTCTCAAGTCATGAATACCAAGTCAAAGTCAAGTTGAGTCTTTTACCTGTGTTAGTCAAGGAAGTCTCTAGTCCTCAAATATGGGACTTAAGTCTGACTTGAGTCCCTCACATTTGTTCTCAAGAAAGGCCCCACACATAAGTCAAAGAATAACAAAGGCAAGTTATTTCAATGTGATTTTGTTATTACACCTCATATGAGAATAACTTCTGTGATTTATTCTGCAATAACTTCTGATGATTTATCATAAGAAGATCTTTGAAACTAACATGAAAAACTGAAAAACTAATGACAGTGAAAGACCAGAGACACCAGTGAAGCCTTTTTCACAAGCTGTTTGGCAACTCAGTGACTGGATGTTGAGGTGTATGGTGCAAGTACATGTTGTCCGGAGTCTGCATGTGTTTAATTCTGACTCACCCAGCACAGTGAGACGGGCAGGACGGGACCTCATGGCAGCCTGGACAGCCTGGCACTCAAACACTGCATCATCCATTAGCTCGACACGCTGGATTCGCAAATGATGCTCTCCAGAACTGTGGTCACCAATCACTGTGTAACGAGGATAGCCTACAGCACAAAACACATTTGTCCATTATAACAATGTTCAAATTCAAAATGCTACTCATCTGTCAAAAAGGAGGAGGTAAATGTGTAGAATTTCACATACTTATAGCCACAACAAAACCCATTAAAAAGACACACAAGCTGAATGCATATGAAGGAGGCTATATAACAGTTTATGCACAGTTTATTCTCTTATAGTTGGTTGTAATTAGTAAACACATTTGAAATGGGAAAAAGCACAAATAAATGTGTTCATGTTATTATGCACAATACCGGCATGATCGCTGCAATGATAATTCAAACAGCAGGAAGATGAGTTAGATTACTTCACAGATGAATCTAGTTTTTCATTGTTCATTTGTTAATATACTCACAAGGCATTTTCACATGCTTTATAGCTCTCCTGGCAATGTTAACGAGCTGCTGTGGAGGCTGCTGCATTCTAGTGAATGATGTTTTACTGCAAGTGTAAACAGGAACAGCTCAAATCTGAGTTGTTTCAGCATTGCTGTGTGAAATGATTTATAGTTTAATAATGCAAGAAAGCAGAGCAATATCAAAGAGACCTGGGCATTTTACACAAGTCAAGTGAGATGGTTTTAAAGATATTCCCTTAACTATTATCAAAAATATGCATTGTGAGTGTGTTCTAGAGTGCACCTCTCCAGTGGGGCAAATAAGCAGGAAGAGGAATGTGTTTGACTGAGAAGCCTTATGGGGTATTTTTCATGTTTTTGGAAGTGCTTGTCTCTGAAGATCCCTTTTCTTTTTCTCTCACTCTGTCTTTCTAATTGTTGGGAATAGAGTATGTGGAATGAAATGAGAATGTCTAATAATAAAGACTGCACTTCAAAAAGTGCTGTGAATTTCTAGTAAATATTTTCTCTTTCCTTCAGTGGTCCATAAGTAATTGATCAATGATGAAACAAGTGGACAGGATTGGAGAGCTGTAAAGCAGATAAAGGCCAGACTTTTACCAGAGCCTCCCTCCAAGTTTGTGTTTGGTATCAGTAAACTTCACACTCAGACTCAGACATGTGCCATTTCCTTTCCAAAAAAAAAGTCTATCAGAACCCATCCAACTGTTGGGTCAATGCCAACAAATGCTGGGGAGTAAAATATTGATTTGTCAGTAACAGCAATGACTCATGTCCACCCCAGAGATCTCCAAACACTTCAGTCTCTCACTGTAAAAGGTTTAAAGGCTGGCTATACTGTATGTTGCAGCGTCCAAAAGAAACATAACAGACTAGGCAGCTTTATAACAGCTTTTAAGTTCTTGAATTTGTCTACACCAAAAACCCATCGTATGCTCAAAGTCCAATTACTGACTGATGCTTCATTGAATCCAGTTGCCTTTAATAGACTATGAAGTGGGCCTCATTTTATGCTGGTGGGGTAGGTTACACTCGATTAACGCGCTCTCTGCATTTCATCCTCCTACTGTACATGTACAGTAGCCTTTAATCTTAAGGGTCTTAACAGTGGGAGGACAAAGAAAAAAGAACACCTACTATATATATAAAACATTAAAGCTGGAGAGACGATAAAGCAAAATAAGTGGAAAGCAAACTAAAGCACGAGCAGAGATGCACAATAAGCTGTACCAGTGGATGTATTGTGAGAAAACTAGTCACCCGGGTGCTACAGTGGCTCCTTTCTTTGAATTTCACATTATGTGCTACAATGTGTCATACACTGAGCTACAGAAAGGCTTCACTAAAACAGGTTGTAAATTTAATAGGGTTAATAGAGACCTGATCACAGCTAAAAGCTTCCATTTATAATATGAATGACCGACTGAGCAGCAGTTTTGCTTTTTAACACTCAAAATAATGCCTAAAATAAAGCATGCACCACTGTGCCCACAAGGTGACCTAGAAAACTATTTTGCTTCAATTTTATGTTCATTGATGAGATTCAAAGTAATAATGCCATTGCAGAGCATAAGGGTAATGATTATTGCACATTCAGAATGTTACAACCTTGATTTGACTCCAGTCCACCCAGGGAGCGCATGTCTCTACTCCAGAAACATGATTTACTGCAAATGCACTTTTGTTGCTCTTCTCTTAATTGTAGCAAGGTATAAGCTATGTCAGTTTCTTTTTACACAGATAGATGATCCAGCCAATTACCTCATCTGTGCCTCTGGCAGACAAAAAGTAATTTTGCTGTGTGAGGAAATGGCTGTGTTCCAGTTTCATGGCTGTACATTAGCTGGATCCGAAAAGAAAACATCATTTGCATTTGTGGTGGATAGTAAACAATAAGAACATTATAGTCTCATTCTCAAAAAAACATAAACATGCAGTAATATGTTTTTGTCACCGTTTATGTACTTTGATCTCGCTTCATGCCAGTATGAAATGATACTGGCACACATGGAGACTGATCACCTCCTAACATGCTATGTACCTATAAAGGGCCATTGATCTTAGATCTCAGTAAATTTCAAAGACATAAGGTGTTACCCAAAGCAAACAATGTAAAATATCCCTATTAAGGAGTAATGAATCCATCAGAGGGGAATGGATTTATCTTGAGGCTGGATCAATGACATACGTGCTGGTGTGTATGTGTGTGTGCATGTAAGTATACAGACCCTTGGGGCATGCTGTAGTGATTTACAGCATTCACCTAGAACATGTATTGCACAGTGTATCCACCAGGGGATAGAAATGGGTTAGCTGCAGCTGCGAACAGGTGACGGGTCTTCAACTGATTATCATCACGCTTGTTGCTGACTGTTGGCTTTTCTTCTCAAGAACTCTTTCTCCTATTCTTTATGCATGGACTAATGCATACAAACACTTCCTTATTCATTTTTACTGTGTGCACACCAGGAGAATTTATTTATAGCTGCTTTGTCTGTTGTCACCATGATCATGTGTAGCGGATATATCCCCTGTCATGCATATTCATGACATTGATTGGTATGTTCTGAGCTACTGTGGGGCTACTTTACTTTTCTTTAATTAGCGTGGAAAAGCGTGACACAAAGGGGAATGAATAGGAAATTCAGGGACAGATAGGAATCATTGGCTTTTGTGCTGTGATTTCTTGCGTTGAATGGTGAAAGAGTTCTCTCAGTTTAATCACTGCTCCCGTGAATGGAAACAGGTCCCAGGCGGAGCACGCCGTTGCCGACGCAGCTTCTTTCTATGAATAGACCTATATTATTGAAGTGTTCCATGAACCGTTTGATTCGTCACAATTTTTATGTATACAGCTGCCACTTTCTTTTCACTGTGTACATCTTGCAGTGGATGTACCATCACTCTTTTATGGCTGCGTGCATTGCTTGTTTATGTAGGCATGGAGTGATAAAAAGGACAGCTGTGGAGCGCTTTATTTTAAAAGAAGTGTCATTTGCCTAAATGGAAGGCACTCGGCCTTTGTCCATATCACACTGTTGATGTTAGCTACCTATCTTCTCCAGGCGAGCAGCTATTCGTTTTCATATAAAACCTGATGAACTTTGAAATCGTTTAAGGTTTAATGATTTAAAGTTCACCTCAGCTTAACATCTTTAATTATTCATTCAAAGAAGAAGAGGAGAATGGTTATGGAGAAGGCCAAACTGAGGGTTACCGGGTTGTTACCCAATCTTTTTTTTTCTGTTGGCTTCTCTGACTTTGCCCATTGCTGAAATGGGATTTCATCTTGATTGTCTTGTCTTCTTAAATCAATAAATTACTACAGGATAAAACCAACCATACAACTCTCTTCCACTCTGAATCTAAATAAAAGCGTGCTCTTTTCCACTCTCTCTCTCTCTCTCTAGCAGTGATATAAGTACTGTACAATACTCACTTGTCTGCCTCCTTTTCGTCCAAAGGAGACTCAAAGACTGCATCACCATTGTTTAGTGCAACCTACCAGCCTCTCCTCAGCCTGTTAAGGACTTGAAAAGGGAATAGGATGGGTTTAGTGGGGCTCTGTCAGCCACTGAGGTTTAATTAAACTGCACTAGTGACAGCGAGTGTTTGCTAAAGGTCAAATGGTAGAAGACCACCAGTCTCTAGTGTAATGCATATTTAATCATTCCTGATCATAAGAAACCTTTGTGTTTTGAAAACTGGATATTGGATCATTGCGCCTTGACATGCAATCCTCAGTAGTCACAGACTGAAGGTACTGTATGTGAGGCAAATTAGAAAGCTGTAAAGTAAAAACAGAATTTATAGAGTAATGCAGTCTGTTGTGTGTGGAGTGCTGTGTACGGATTCAAATGGATCACTGTTTTGAAAGAATTTAATGATCATTTGAATAAATTATATGGGTCTGCATAGCTTTTTATGGTTTTCTAATTCAATAGCTCACTGTTTCAAAAGGTTGTAAATGTTTATTTACAGGAGTGCTGTGTTTTCTTGAATATACATAAAGCCTAGCCTTCCAGAACAACAGGCTACTAAATGACAGTGCAGCAGTCTCTTTTACTCAAAATTAAACAATTAAGGCAATTATATATGAGGTGCAGTGTAATTAGAGGATGCCAGATACTCTTCAAAAAGCCATTTAGCAGCCTGAAGCACCAGAGAAAGACCAGTGCCACTATATTTTTTTCCGGTTTTTGTAATTCTTTGCAAAAACAGAGTATGAAGTATAACGGTTTTAGATCAGCATCTAACACAGGGACAAAAATGAATTTTTGTAACACTTGTAACATACTTTTTATGAGATCCCCTTTTTTTCTGTCTGTGGAGTGATGTATTTGGAAGAGGGTAGGATGTTGATAAGTGGGGGCTTTACATGGCATACAGTACAGCAGCCATTTTTGTTACAGAGCATAATTAATAGGACAAACTGATTGTGATGGAGGAATGCAGGGTGTTAAGAGGATAAACGCTTTTTACCAGAGAGGTCTCTGCCAACTCCCAGTGCCAAGCCATCTTTGATCCACAGGACAACACCATGGTAACCAGGGATAGTGCATGGTAATGTCACAGGCTGGCCTGCCACCACCACCAGGTCCTGTGGCTGCTGGGAAAACATAGCCTCTGCCCCTATGAACAAGAGACGAAGGTAAAGGTTAGGACGTATCCAGTTAAATTATCACATTTTTAAAAAAATATAATGACAAGAGGGCATGGACATTCATTTAAAAAATTAAAAAAGGGGACAAGTGGCATTTTACAAACACCTGCTTTCAATGTTTCAAATGTTCGGTGAAGAGAAAATGAAGGGAAGTGCACCATATGGCCCTTTCCACCAATTTCACTCAGACCTCTTGTCCAACTGATGTTGAAAGAACTATAAAGGGTGATGTACAAATGTGGCATATTCTTTTAGTATGCATGATACTGTACATGCATCAGAGGTGTCAGTGCAGCACCAGGACTGAAGCACAAGCTAAGAGACAGCCATCACAGCTCAGCTTCATTCATTTATGGAGAATGTCACTGTACAGATGGGCTGGGCCCATACACACCACAGCGGATAACACAATCGCATCTGCCAACGCTGCTCTAGTGGCATGCATTAACTGGAGCTCACACCCGTGCATTCCAATTGTGTAGCTACTATTAGCTGCACTCCTCTACCCTGTGTTCAGGTGGAAAGTGGTGTGCAGTGAACTCCATTAGAGGCAGAGGGTGTGTTAATAGGGAGGTGGTCATGGAGAGTGGTGGGGTACAGTGTTGTGGATCATAGTGGAGGGTACAGGGTGTTACTGACATGTAGGTAGAAACACTGATAACCTGCCTATAAAATAAAGCCCACACATGTATACACTATAGACACAGAGACATGCATTCATACAGACACTCTCAGTCAGATTACAGAGCACCACTTTAAGCAAAGGTTTAGCAGTCTTACCTCCTCTTTCACATTTTACTGAGACATTTTTGTTCACAGCTGCTTCTTTTTCCTTTACAGAATTCCAACTGCTTCAATCAGACTGTCTACCTTTTACTTGAACAACTTAATATCCTTACAGAGGGGTGCCACTACCCGTAGAGCGTGAGGAGTCACTGAATGGTTTGGTGAATATGAAAATGATGACTCATATGCTATAGCCTTTGCAGTTACCAGATCTCAGCCCAATTTAACACATATGGGACATTTCTCACTGACATGTTAGACAGCGCTCTGCACCACCGTCATCAAGACACCATATGAGGGAATAGTGTTCATCCCCACAGTAGAGTTCAGTGGCTCAACACCTTACTAAGACATTTTATGTTGGTTTTTGCTTTAATATGCCACTTGGCTGTACAGTATGTGTAGTAGTAAAAACATAGGCGCAATTAGGAGCAAGTATTATTATAACGACTACTATTGAGCTCATATACACATCTTTAATGTAATCATATGCAAATAAAAAAGCTGATCAAAGAATAACATCTAGTAATTTATAATAATAAGACTGCAGGGAACTTAAAAGTTCACTTTCATTTTACAGCATCTTTGTATCACAATTCAGTCATCTGCAGTGGAGTTCTTTGTATGATTAATTTTATATTCAAGAGAAATTACTTATGCAGACAGGGAAATTTATTAGCTTTGTTGTATTATTTCAAACTACATCAGAGAAAAGATTGTTGTCATACGAAAAACTAACTTTAATTTAGTTGGAAAATGCCATTTGAATCCTCACCAGTCATTCTTTCACCCCTGAATGGAATCCCATGTGATGGATAGCTTGTTAAAGATGTAAGCAGAATTTTTCATGTTGATTCATGCACTCCCTTCCCCGTGTCACACATGCCTATGCACACAAACACTCTCACAAACAGAAATACGCAATCCTATACACTGCCTAATTTTAATATACAGTATATCTATTACTAGACTCAGGAAAAATAATGCGTGGTTTTCCAGAGCATAAACTGTAATGGGCTTTTCTTCACCCTGAGGCTCGACAGCTTCTCCCTGGCTATCCAGGGCCTTCGTAAATGTGTGTGTATATATTGTGGCTAGGTGAGACTTTCTCTCAATATACTGTATGTATTGCCCTTCAAGTCTGTTCAGCCCTGACTATGTTCCAATGTGAAGAGCTTATCTCTTCTGTTCTCTCATCACACAGATGAAACACACAAACATATAGACAGCTCCTAAACAGTTCTCTCGATATGTTCCAGAAAAAAAAAAAGCTAAGATCAGGGAATGTTGTGTCTGCTCAGTCATAACAGATATTATCAAAACATTCAGCATGTGCCTCCCGTGGGCCCACCACCTGCAGGAGGATCCGTAAGGGGCCAGTGCACAGTGGATTGGGCAGCAGTCGAAGGCAGGGGCCCCCACGGCCCGATCTCTGGACACGGAGACTAGCCCTGGGGAAATGGAATGTCACCTCGCTGGTGAGGAAGGAGCCCAAGCTTGTGCAGGAGGTTGAGAGGTACCAGCTAGATATAGTCGGGCTCACCTCCACGCACAGCTTGGGCTCTGGAACTTTAC